GGCACCAGCCTGCAGGCCAGGAACATTCTACAGGGTGTGGTACCAGGCCACACAAGAGTGGCCGAGCTGAGAGTTAGACCCTTCTCTGTCTGTTTCAAAGTTCAAACTCTGCTTACATAAGTAGGAGCGGCCTCTTAAACACACCACCCCGGGGTCAGCTGGAGACCAGCTGAGTGATGCCTCAGAGGGCCCACCAGGCAGAGCCTCTGGGGAGAGTGCCAGTGAGATGGGAAGAGGAAGCTTATGTATTAGTGAACTGGAAAATGTCCAGTTTGACCTCACGAGGGCAGAGGCTGGCTTCCATTCCGACTTCCTGGTGAGACTTGGTGACTTTCTTATACATATGTGAGGGAGGGTTTACATGAGTACATGTGTGAGCGTGTGCGAGTGCCTATGCACACGTGCACATCGACACGTGGAAGCAAGAGGGTGGCATCAAGTGTCTTCCTCCATCCTTCTTCCTTATTCTTTGAACCTAGGGTCGTGCCATTAAACTAGACTGGCTAGCCTGTGAGCCCCAGAGACCCCAGGGCACAGCAAGCGCTGCCCACTGAGCCGTCCTCTCCTCATCCCACTTCTCCACTCCCATCTCTTTGTCTCGTGCCATTCCTGGTGTCTGTTTCAGGCACCCCAGCCTCCTGCAGCACAGGTGCACGTGAGCACACTCTCACACTCCCGGCCATGATCCAGTGGCTGACACAGCACACCCTTCTTGCTGCCTTCTCCTCCTGGTCCGACCCAGAGCTCTTCTGAGCCTGATCCACCAAGAGTTCAGAAGTGGATCACATGTGTCTCAATTTGAACCTCCCCCCTCCCGGGGCACCAGATCCAGCCCCATGCCCGCATTCTTCTAGCCTTTCAAATTGAGTCCTAATTTCAACATCCCCAGAAAAGCCTCCATGGCTGTTCATGCCCCCCAAGGCTCCAAGGTCCATATCCTATTGTTACAGGTCCAACCTGCCACTCATTTGGCACCAGGGAATAAAGACTTGTCCCCCAGGCCTTTAATCAAATCTGTTATTAGGGCATGGCCAATCACCCCCACTGTACCCTAGTAAATCTATTTGGGGTAGCTGTAATGGCTTCTCAGAGTGTCTTACCCCTAGCCACCAGCAGACTACAAGTCCACAATGGCCATTTGTTCTCTAATAGAATGGCACAGCCCCAGAGACTGGGAACACCGTCCAGGGCATCCAGGGTACAAGCTTGCCTCCAGCACACTCCTAGTTGCCTCCTAACTGTGGGCATGAGGCTAGTCATGACCCCTTCTCTGAGCCCATGCCCTCCTTAGGGCCACTTGTTGTATAGGAGTCAGTAGTGATGCGGTTTCCTTGATGGCCACCATGGCAAGGTGTCCAGTGTCATACGGAGCTTAGGGCTGAGAGAAGAAAGGCAGAAACTCCCTGCTTCTTTGGCAATGGAGGACTCTGGGAAAGGGAAGTAGTATTCTTCTTCCCTTATAGGGTGGCAACTACTCTCTGAAGACAGAGCCTGTTCTGTGTGGAGACACAGACACCACCTGTCACCTTCAGGCCTACTCTCCCCTAGTCATTCTCCTCCCCTTGCTGAGGGGCCCCCTGATTGAATGCATATTACCCTGACAATATTCAACCCTGTCTCCTGCCTCCTGCCTCAGAGGCCAGAGGGATCTGGGTCACCTCAGACAGCCAACCTGGGGCAACTGTGTTGTTTCAGCCTGCTATTAGACATCCATGTCATCAACTGACTGGCTTGGGTCCTCAGCTGTATCATGACCACATTGCAAGACCAATGTCAAGGAGGTCCCATTCCTGGGTTTGGGGCCACTTACAGCTGCCAATTTCTTGTTATGATCTCATTTCTGTTGCTGTGATGAAATACCCTGACAAAAGGCACCTTAGGAGGCAAGAGGTATATTGGGCTTCCAATTCCAGGTCACAGTCCATCACTTGGGGGAGGCCAGGCAAGAGCCTGAAGCAGCTAGTCACATCACAGCCACAGTCAAGGACAGAGACAGACTATGTCCATGCACCCTGACGTGTGCCCAGCCTGCTCTTTGCGTTATACAGCCCAGAGTCCCTGACGCGGGGAATGATGGTGTTGCCCACATGAACTAACAATCAAGATAATCTCCCGCAGGTGCTCCTCGAGGCCAACCTGATCTAGGTAGCCCTTCATTGAGAGGCTGTTCCTGGCTGGTTCCAGGTGTGTCGGATTAAAACTAAGCATCAGAGTCTCCAAACCCCAGCCTGGCACCCATTGCACACCAACCTCAACCTGCAATGTGCCCACCTCCCAAGACAGTCTCAGGCCAATACCTAGGAGCCATGCTATTGTTCTGCCTGAGTCTCCTCGTCCCCAAAGTGCCTGCCTGTGGCAGGAAAGTGAACGGCCACCCTGTCATAGTCACAGCCAGAGCTAGAGTGATGCATTTGGCCTAAAGTACATCAGCCAGCCCTGCTCTTCCTCCCTTGGGGACACACAGCAACCCCTTCAGAGAGCAAGGCCACGATCAAGCCCCATGGTCCTGCAGTTCCCAGTAGGAGAATCCGTTCCACAGCTGGCTTGAGTGTGACAGCAGCTGAAAGCAGCTTGTGACTTATGACATAGGCTCTCTTCCACCAGTGAGCTTGCCATCTGCTGGGAAAATGCCTCTGGGCACCTTTAGAGTGCCATTCCTGGTTAAGTGTGCATGTTCACAGGTGCCTGGATGAGCCGTTCTACTGGGCAGAACCCAGAGGCTCTGCTCTGGGAGACCAACTAAGACCCTCGTAGTGTTCTTTGGGGGGTATGAAATAAGTTTATGAAGGAGCTTCAGGAAGGGAGCTGCCCAGTGTCCAGGTTTCAGATATGAGAAGGGATCTGCATGAGAGAGAGAGGACGATGCAGAAAGGCATCTGGAGCTTTGGGCAAATTGCACATGGCTGGACAAGCTCACTGAGCTTGCATGGCCAAGGCCCTGGTATCACAGATGATAAAGAGTGACACAGTAGAATGTTTGCTTTTAGATGTGCCAACTGACCATCAAGTAGGGACATTTGTAAGGCCCAGACATGAGTGGATCTGGCCATCACCTGCCAGTCACACATTGTACTATGTTGTGAGTCAGGATAGTTTTCATGCACAGTTGGACACACTGAGTCTGGTTTTCTCAGTAGCCAATCACAATGGCACCCACACAGCATCCGGAGTGAGGATATGGTGCCTTCCCAAGCTCCACACTGTGCTCCTAGCTTAGGCCTGCTGTGGCTCGTGCACGATTTGGAGGTTCATTATCCTAGTCTCATTTCCTATTGGCTGTCATGGTACCCTGACAAAAAAGCAACTTAAGGGAGAAAGGGTTTGTTTTAGCTCATAAATTCCAGGTTCCTGTCCATTGTTGTGAGCAAGTCAAGGCAGAAACTTCAAACAGCTCACACCCATACTCAAAAGCGGGGAGAAATAAATACACATATGCTCACCTGATTGGCTTTTTTCCTTCCTCTGTTTAGCTCAGTCTCACCACTCTCACACAGTTTAGGACCCTGCCTAGGGAATGGTGCCACTCAGAGTAGACTTCATTTTTCTACACCAGTTAACTTATTAAGACAGCTCCCACCCCCACCCCTAAAAAAAGACAGTGCCAAACTGACAATTAAAACTAATCATCAGTCTCTGAGGACGAATTTTGGAGTAGGTGTCTCCAAACCCTAGAGACCCTAGGTCAGCAGGCCAAGGGTTCTAAAGTCTCATTAAATATAGAGCAGAGCCATAGCCTCCGAGGCATACAGACGTTGACTGCCAAGATGTTGAATGCTGAAAGCATTCAAGACGGGATTGTGAGTGAGAAGTGCCATCACATAAGGAAAGCTAGAACAATATTCTGTATTTTAGTTACAGCTCACCAGCTCGAACACCATTCTTGGGCTGTCGCAGTGACTGAGTTGGTAAAGTTTTTGCTTTGCAAGCATGACAACCAATCCCCAGAGCTGAGCATGATGGTGCGGTGTGTGATTGCTCCCAAACCTGGGCAGGCAGAGACAGGTGGATCACAAGTCACCAGCTAGCCAGCCTAGCCTCGTTAGGGTCCATCCAGGCCGGTGATAGACATGATTTAAAACGCAGGTTAAACAGTTAAAAAGCGAGATGGAGAGCATCTGAGAAACAGCAGCTGAGACTGACCTCTGTCCTTTATATACATGTGCACATGCGTGCTCGCACACACACACACACACACACACACACACCCCGCACACAGGAAGATTTATGTTGAATCCTGAACTTCTTCGCTGCTAATTCTGCATGAGTGATCTGACTCAAGCCAAACATCTGCCCTTACAGATCCGGCTTTTTGCTCAGTCGTTAGCAGTAAGCTCTTAGCACAGTCTGTGTACCGCCCATGCTCCTAGAATACATGCGTGTGCCCATGCATTGACATGCGCATGCACACAGGAGCAGGGCTGCAGGCCAAAGGTGGTCAGCTGAGCTCAGGCCGAGCAAACCCAAAGGGAAGATTTAGAGTTCCACTACCAGGGTTGCGGTGGTGGCTGAACCAGTATGCAGCCTTCCTTCTGTGGGTGTGCGCCAGCATATGGCACTCAGAGCACAATTTCCAAGTGTCATTCCTCAGGTGCCTTCCAGGCAGTGAGACCAGCAAGCCACTGTGCTCCAGGGGTCTGCCCGTCTCTACCTCCATCTCAGCATGGCTAGAACTACAAGCCCATATCAGCACTCCCAGGTTTTACTGTCATCTCTGGAATTGAACTCCGATCCTCAGGCTTGCAAGGCAGGCACTTTAACCACTAAGCCATCCTCAAACCTCCATGGAGCTTCTGGGTCCACTGGCTGATTCTTCCAGGGTCTGCCTCTGAGCTAGAGACGACTGAGGGAGGTTGGCATAGAAAATGAAAAGGACGGGCTTCTGGCAGGCTCTCTGTGAGTGCCTGCACATGCCAATGCTACTCCGGCGGTTTGGGGCTCTTCGCAGGGGACTCGTGTCCCACAGGTCTTCTTTCTGAGAGTATCACCTTTTGTCCCCACAGGCCTCCTACCCTGAGTGGCAGCCCGGTCATCTCAGATATCTCCTTGATCCGACTTTCCCCACACCCTGCGGGCCCTGGGGAATCTCCCTTCAGCGCCCACCATCCCTACGTGAGCCCTCATATGGAGCGCTACCTCCAGTCTGTGCACGGCAGCCCCACGCTCTCAATGATCTCTGCAGCCAGGGGCCTCAGCCCTGCTGATGGTAAGCAGTGTTGGGGCAGAGGCAGCGGACATTGGGTTGGATGCTGGCTCAGTGACTCTGTGGCTCTGTCCACACAGCCAGCCCATTTTCTATCATCTTACAATAACACGTAAGATTACGATTTCATCATTGGATGTATCTATTGATTAGAACAAAGCCCACGTGAGCTGGTCAGTTCCCCAAAGCACCACCTCTGTATATCATATTGGGGACCCAAACTTTCAACACATGAGCCACTGAGGGATATTTCATATCCAGACCGTAACAGCCACATCAAAGGCACAGACTTCTGCTTGCAACACACCAAAGGCTGCAGAAGCCAGTATTAAGTGAGGGCTCTTGTGTAGGAATAGCTCCTGAACTCAACATCAAAAGGGAGCAGAGCCAGCTAATCTCTGTTCCTGTCCCAGTGCTGGTCAACACAGATGGTCTCCCAACCCCCAGGAATCCCCTGGAGCTGCAGTTACAGGCAGCCGAGGCCCCAGTCTCCAGGGATAGACCAGTGACTTTGTGCCACCTCCAATGCCTAAGAGAGAAAGGGCCAGCCCACTGGTTGATTCAAAACAGAAGTGAGGAGTCATGGAATATAGTTACTCTCTCAGATTAGTGGCTGAGGTGATAGCCACTCATCTACAGCTAGTAAGATGAGATCAATCTTAGTAAGTATGAGATCAATCCTTCAGAACCCAAGTTAAAAAGAAAAGAAAAAAAGGCAAAAGAAGGAAGAGAGCAAGAGAGAGAAAAGAAACAAAAAGGAGGTCCAGTGACAGGCAACTGGAATCCCAGCAATGGGGAGGCAGAAACTGAGGTTCACTCACTAGCCAGGCTAGCCGAATCAGAGGTCCGGGCTCAGTGAGAGACCTTGTCTCAGAAGGACGATGGGGAGCAATTGAAGGAGACACCCGATGTTGCTGTCTGGCCTCCGTGTGAGCACGGGTAGCAATGGGTGGGCTAGGAGGTCAAGCATAGAGACCCCAACGCAGAGGTGAATTATCTGTCCTTCCTTAAACAGGAAATTCATTTCTTAGATTTTACTGATATATTTTTAGTTTATGTGTGCATTACATGCATGTTTGCATAGGTTCCTCCAGAGGCCAGAGAGAGAGAGAGTACCGGATTCCGTGGAGCTGGAGTTACAGGTAGTAGTGAGCCACCCAACCCGTGTGCTGGGATGTGAACTCAGGTTCTCTGTAACAGCAGTATGTGCTCTTAACTGCTGAGCCACCCTGTTGGACAGTAAATCCTGATGGTTTCTCTCTCCATCCTTTGGCCAGTAAACTCTGACCGTTGCTTTCTTACCTTCTGTGACAGTGGCCCACGAGCATCTGAAAGAGAGGGGACTGTTTGGTCTTGCTGCCCCAGCCACCAACCCTTCAGACTATTACCACCAGATGACCCTCATGGCCAGCCACCCCACCCCCTATGGGGACCTTCTAATGCAGAGTGGGGGTGCTGCTAGCGCACCCCATCTCCATGACTACCTCAATCCTGTGGATGGTGAGTAATGGAGGGTGTGGGACTATGGCACAGGTGACTGACTGCCACAGAAAACAGTCCATCAGTCCCTTTGGAGGCAAGAGACACCAAGAGAAGTCTACGCCGCCAGCCACAGGGACTGAGGCTGGGCGACCAAGAGCCCTGTTGTCATCATAAGGAACGGATGCACTTAGTTAACTCTGAGGAGAATGTGTAGTGGGAAGTACAGACACTTCCCAACACCAGGAATTGGCAAGCTGAGATGAAACAGGGCAAACAAAATAAAGATGGAGGCCCATGCCAGGGTGGTGGGATGCTATTTTGAGAGGAAGAGTTAGAGAGCTAAAGGCATCCCTCATTAGAGGTGCTGCAGATGCTGTTCAGGCCCAAAAATGAAGAGGCAAGGCCAGCATCTGGCTTGGGGAAGAGCCAGCCCAGCAGAGGATCAGCAGGTGCAAAGGGCCCGTGTTCCTGCTCAGCTCAGGAGACCGATGTAATTGGTAGAAACCAAGTAAAAGGCAGGAATGTTACTGAGGCCAGTGTTCTGGGCTGGGCTGTGACTGGTTGGGACTTGATCGCTGGAGTGAGATTGGGACTATGGAGTCAGTTGGGGGAGGATGTACAGAAAAGTAAAGACCTGGTGTACCACTTGAGAGCATCACATTCATGCTGATCTGAGAACTGAGCGGGGGCAAGCAGCAATAGACTCCACTGATGAGCCGTAGAGGAGTCGCATTAAGGGAGATTCCTCCAGCTCAGATGTGGGTGTGCAGGGAAAAAGGAGCGTACTACTTATGTTCCTCTTTGCTCTGACCAAGTATCTGACCCCTGACCCCCCTCGTAATAAAACCTGATGAAAGCAACTTAGGAAGGCAGGTTAACTGAGCCTCACATGTCAAGGAGATACAGTCCCTCACGGTAGGGATGGTATGGCGGCAGGGGTGTGAGGCAGCCAGTCACACCACATCTGTCGTGAAGAAGCAGAGACAGGCCAGCTTCTCCTCTGCATTCAGTCTGGGGCTCACATTCATGGTAGGTCGTTGCGCCTCAAACGTGATCTAGAAAATCCTCCGCATACATGTCTCCTAGATAATTCTATACCCTTCCAAGTTAACAGTTGTTGTAAACCATCCTAAAGAGTCAAGGGCAAGGCCAGGGTCTAGAGCACAAGTGATAGGATGGGCTGTCAGTGATGAAGACGGGACATATGCTGGGCTCTTTGCAGGGTGGAAGGCGTGGGGGAGGGTCTTGGATAGATGAAGTCATAAGTACACATCAGACACCATGCCCTTGCTTCTCACTAGAAGCCATCCTTGTGGCTGCTTTCACAGAATGCCATAGCCCCCTGACATGAGTCTTTGGGTTAGCATACAGCCTCTGCCAGTGGAAAGGAAATCAAAGCTCAATGATATTGCCACTCTCTAACTAGACCCCACTCCACCTGGCAACCCTAAAGCTGTCCAAGTATTCCTGGGATGCAGGCTAAGTAGAAGAGTGGGAAAGCACCACCAAGGACGCTCTTGGGCTGTTCACCTCCAGCCCTGCCGGGAGCAGTGTCTTCGTGCCACAGTGTTGCGTGGTGGGAGGAGACAGACCTGCAGAGAGGCCATCTGGTCCTGCAGGGCAGCAGGTTGGAAACGGGCTGTGACAGCTGTTGAGAGGCCACCGAGGCTGCAAGATGCAGGGTGGGCCTGTATCATCCAGGCCTCAGCTCACACCATACGTGCCGTTCCAGGGAGCCCTGCCACAGCCAGCCACTGTTGCCTCTCTACGTAGTGGCTTTGCTCCATTGACCTGCCTCTTCACAGGGTTAGGACTAAGTACCTCTTCTTCCAGAAGTCTGTCTAGATGTTGTCTGCCTCCTCTGCTCTGTCCTGCCTCTCTACTTGCTGGCATCCACTGGGTGCTCAATTAATGCTACTAGTACCCTTTTACCTCTTTCAAATCACTACCAGTATCCCTTTACCTCTCTTCAATCCACCATCCTCTCCAGGAGTCCATATCTTAGTTGTCTTCACCCCTGTCCATCTGATGCTTCCACCCAGGCCATAGGCCACTCTGGGCATCACGTCCTCATCATCTCCCTAGCCATCTTGTCCCTGAGTGTGCTAGTTATGGCTTGTCCCCTCTCTCCCTAGTGCTGTGGTTAACAGAATCATCAGGGTCACAGTCTGAGCTGTGATGGCAATAACAAGAGAGGCTCAGCAGCCTGTCCTCCATAGGCCAATTAAACAGATCAGGAATGGTGGAAAGCAGAGGAAGGAGAGTTATTCAGGGTGGCCAAGCTGAGAAGAGGAGCAAAGAGACTTATGTTTAGGTTTAAATGGGGGGCACGAGGTTTACATAGCTAAGCAGTCCTGGTCAAGGTGTGGTCTAGCCATCAAATCTTCCCTGCACAGTGCTCTGACAAGCCGTCAGAACTGTGTGAACTCTCTTTCTGAGAGGCAAGCTCACCCTCAGGCTAGCACCAGGTTTCAGCTCTTTCCTTCTTCCAGCTCTTTCCTTCTTCTTCTGAGTCTCCTGGGGAAATTCCAATTTTTTTGGAGTCTGTTGTCAGATAACCAATGAGACGGACACAGGGGTCTCTTTTGAATATCTTTCCTGCAGCCTCATTGCTGCCTCCCAGAACAGGTCCCCTGATGTTTCCTGCTCTGCCAGTCTGCCTGTCTGCTGTGCCTGAGGGTTTGGGGGCTGTGCAGCTCCAAAGGCATCATGGGTATCAAGTCCTGGGCACCTGAGGCACCAGTAAAACTCTAGGCATCCAACTCTAGCTGACCTGAATCCTTCACATAAGATAGTCAGCCCTGCCGCTGGACCAGGTGGCCCACAGCCTGTGAGGCCTGATGTGTCAGGAGTGGTCATCACAGGAGACCTGGGAGAGAAGACTGTAAACTGATTAGAGCAGGAGCAGGAGTGGGCGGGGGAGCTGCTGACAGCTGTGGGTGGCCTACAAGGGACTGGGGATAACTCTGCCCCCAGATCATCCAGCATTGGCTACATCTGGGGCCTGAGCATGTCTAAGAAACAGGAAGGGCTGGGCAGGAGGAGTTTGTAGCCTGGTGCAGCGCCCACCTCCAAGGGCAACCACCACTTGCTGGATAACTTACCACAGCCACCTCCACTCTCCACTTCTGTATTAAGATCAGCAGATTCCCAGACACCTGAGCAGGATTGGGGTGGCAGGTGGTGGCTGGGGAGGACTGGGGACAAATTTTATAGACAGCCAGCTACTTCTTTCTCTTGGTTTCTAATCTGTCCCAACCCATGAAAGCCAACCAATCCTTACTGATGTTCTAGTTCTCCTGTTTATGCTATTCCGAAGGGCGTTTCCAAGCAGATTTACTCGTTTTATTTTTCACTTTCCCTAGGTTGGAACCTAGGGCCTCACACATGCTAAGTGCTTACTCTCTAACACTCAGCTAGGCCCAGACTTTTCTTTCCTTCTTAAATTTTGTATTTTATCTTTGGGGTGTGTGTGTGTGTGTGAGTGAACATGCATGCCATGGTGCTCATAGGGGAATTGTTTTTCTCCTTACACCGTGTGGGACTGGGGAATGAAACTCAGGCTTGACAGCAAGCATTTTTAACTGATGAGCCATCTCAGATCTACCCCAGCCCCTTCCAAACCAGTGGAAGGCAAAGATTTAATCTTGGCTTCAGAATTTTTTTAAAAAACCATTTGGGGCATTTGCACTCAGCTTAGGTACCTGTGTGGATACTCAATCTGCTGTGCTTCTGGGAGATGCTAAATAAGGCTGAGCCCCTGCCCAGCCTGCCTCCAGGGCATCCCCCCTTCCTCCTTCTCCCCGTGTGAGCCCGGGAAGACCCTGCCAACTCCTGTACTTCCTGCAATCCACCCCCACAGGATACTTCAGTTTCCATGATGCTTCATGGGAAACTTAGATCTTTGTACCAAGTTTCTCTTTGCTCAATATTCTGACGGAAGAAATGGTGCATCACTCACTCAGTGGCTGTTTACTCAGCATGCCTCCTAGTCAGGTTTCTCTATGGCGTTGATAAAGCATGGATCGAAACCAACTTGTTGGAGAAAGGGTTTATTTCATTTTACAATGGCCAGCTCACAGTCCATCCCTGAAGGAAGCCAGGGTAGGAGCTCAAGGCAGGCTCCTGGCGGCAAGTACTGAAGCAGTTATGCTTCACTACCATGCTCCCCATGGCTTCCTCAGTTTGCTTTTTTATACGGCCCAGGACCACCTGCTGAGGGGCGGCACCACCCACAGCGGCCTGGGCCTTCCCACGTCAATCACCAACCAAGAAAATGCAGCCACAGACTTGCCTACAGCCAGGCTGGTGGAGACAATCTCTCAATTGAGGTTTCTTCTTCCCAGATGACTCCAGTTTGTGTCAGGTTCACACACACACACACACACACACACACACAAACTCACACACTAAGCTAACCATCACAGTATGGATCACATACCAGGCCAGGTTCTAGGCACTCTGCATGAAGCTGAATACCACATCAAGTCTTCCTCTGACCCCCAAATGCTCTCAGTGTCTAGCCAGGCATCAGGCTACCTTTTAGAAGCTGATAGCGGTCCTGGCCTGATCTGTCTTCTCACCGCCTCCTCACTCCTCACCCACCTTCTTGTCTTGAGACAAAGGCATCCAGCAGAGAAGAGAACATTCCAGAGGCTTTGTGTATCCAGCAGAGGCGTGGAGGCAGGATCTGCCGGACTGTGAGGCATCCTGGGCGGAAGGCTCAGCCCTCTCAGCTCTTTCTCCAGCTCTCCCATGGCTACAGCATGGTTTTACCTGAGTCAAGTGCCCACAGAACAGGGCATTTAACATCATAACTGATGTCACTGTGGGGGGTATATAGGTGGTTCTTCAGAAGGAACTCTTTTTAGAGAGGGACTCACGTAGTTAGGGCTGACCTTGAGCTCACTATGCACCTGAGGATGACCTTGGATTGCTGCTCCTCCTGCCTCTACTTCTCACCTGTTAAAATTACAGGCCTGTGTCATCATGCCAGTTTATGTGGTGCTGGGTACAGAACCCAGGGCTTCATACATGATAGACAAGTACTGTCCCATGTGGGCTATATCCCCATCCCTAGAATTTTCTGTTTCTTTTGTTTTGTTTTGTTTTGTTTTTGTTTTTGTTTTCCTGAAGGGGCGAACTTGATCATAAACTAAAGGGGATGTTTCTGTCTAAGAACCTGGATCTTCTGTGCACTCCACATGTGAGACACATTAGGTGGGTCAGAAAGAGAGCAAGATCTCTGACAGGCCCAGACACTGGTGCCACTGTCCTCCCTGGACCTGAACGAGGGCGTAAGGCTCTAGCGCAGGCTCACCTCTCCCTCATCGACCTTTCTTCTTTTGCCTGATTTTCAGCAGGGAGACCAGGAGCTAAGCCACTGAGAAGGCAAATCCACCATCACCCATTCCTCCGCTGGTGGCTCTGCAGAGAGCACAGAGCTCATCACGTGGCACTGGCCCCTAGCAAGGAACTATCCCACAGTAGGCAGTTGACACGGGCAGTGTAACCACAGGAGTGCAGCCCAGAGCCTTCCTCCCCCATCACTCTGAGAAGATTGAAATGTTCTGATTGAAGTACTGTCTGCCCACTGCCCTATAACTCCTCCCAGCTCTGTGTTCTATTGTCATATTGACACTAATGTGGCTGGGATGTCACCTCCATCCTGATGCTCATTCTTTATGCAGGCTCCGGATCCAGGGTGAGGAGGCTGAGAAACCGATGGCATTGATCTCACAGGAGAGATGCAGACATCGATGGGGCCTTGGGGAACTGATTCAGGCAGGAGTCCAGGCCCAACCTGGGACAGAGGGGAAACTGAGGCTGAGGAGAGCAACTGTGGGCTCCACAGGCTGCTAAGCACAGGCTGGGAAAGAGCTGGATAAGAGATGCCCTTTGAACTTACATTGACCAGGATGCAATCCTACTTCCCTGGTTGGGGAACACAAGCCCCACACCTTGGTGTTCTCTGCCCTTGTGACATAACTAAAATGGGACCACTGGTCTCTACCTAAGTCCTCAACTCTATGGCCTCACCATGGAGGTTCCCCCATGAGAAGGATGGGGGCTTGGGTCAGCGAAGTGCAGATGGTGTACTTGGCTGAATTCCTCAGAACACAATCTATGAGCGAGTCCCGAAAAGACCTGGGCCAGCCATAGTGGATTATGCCTGTAATCTCAGCACTTGGAAGGTGTAAGTGGAAGAATCAGGAGTTCAAGGCTGCCCTCTCTCTTCAAAAAGGAAAACATGGGATATGGTAAGGAAGATTTGGCCCTTTCATAAGAGTGTGGCCTTGAAAGCATGAGGACAGGAGTTCAAATCCCCAGAACCCATGTGGAAAGCGGGAGGGAACACCTGCACCTGTAACCCCAGCATTGGAGGGATGGAAGGTGGATGCAGGATTCCCTGGAAGCTTGCTGACTAGCTAGCCTAGCAGAACCAGTGGGCCCAGGCCAAAGAGTGACGTGTCCTGAAAAATATCAGTGGTCCATAGTCTCCCTGCACACTCGTGTATACGTACACATGCTCAAATAGGTGCCTGTAAACAAAAGGGAGGAAAGAGAAGAAGAGAAGAAAGGGAAAGGGAGGAGAGAAGAGGAGAGAACAAGAGAGGGGAGGGGAGAGGAGAGGAAAACTAACAAATGAGACAGAGTCAGAGATAGGAACAGGTTACATCAGGCATCTCCCGAGGTAGGACAGGCGAGCAGCTGGTCACTCGGTGGCCAGGGTTAGGACAGGCAGCAACCACAGATGAATGGCTGCTGTGAGTGCACCAGTCCCCAGACATAAATCACAGGAAAAGCACGGGAAATGAGTGCCAGGCTTTTCTTCCTATTTAGTGATTTATCAAGGGAAGAGGCGCGTTAATAAACACATCTCCCTCAAGGGCCAGGAATAACAGAGATGAATATGACTGTCAGTTTTGGCTTGCTTCCTCTTGTTAGGGGCACCCGAGAGGGTGGGAGTTATAGTGTTAGCAGCAAAATCTCTTTTTGAAAAATATATGACGATGTGCTGTGGTGATAGCTCAGTCAGGAAAGTGCTTGCCTTGCAAGCCTGGGGCCCTGACTTCCGTTCTAGGATCCCTGTGGGAAAAAAAGGGGTACGCTGGGGCATCCCGTAGGGAGGTGGACACAGGTGCATCCCTGGGACTTGGTGGCCACCCAGCCTAGCTTGCTTGGTGAGTTCTAGGCCAGCAAGAGGCCCTGTCTAAAAAAGAAGATGGACAGTTCCTGAGGAAGGACACCTGAGAATGTCTTCTGGCCTCTCTGTGTGTACCCAAACAAGCTCATAAACACACAAGCATGCATGCCAAAGACATGTATAAGTCTTCTCTGGTGGGTGCTAGATCCTCTGTGCCCCTTCAAGTTCCCCATTTTCCCCCATAGTTCATAGCAAAGAGTCTGTAGGAGGACCCCCTTTTGCACCTAGCTTTGAGATAAGGATCATCAAGATGGGGAACTGAGATACTCAGAGAATGCCCTGATGGAGGCCTGTGGGGGGTAGTGTTACAGCCCACTGCCCCAGGCTCAGTTATATTTTACTAGGCTTTGTCACAAACTGTAGACCCACTGTGCCCATCTGTACCACTTGAAGAAGCCCTGGGAATTAGCCATTTTACCCAGACATGTGGACAGGGTCATAGGTACCATTCTCAGAGCTCTGTATTACTTCACAACAAGCCTGTACAATATAGCATGCTGCCTTTATTAGAGGGAGGCTGGGGAAGGCTGTGTTTGCGCAGGACAAGGGCTGCTTACAGGGAGCATCTCTAGATACATACATAGATAGATATATAAGAAAGTTCAGAGTTCTCAGAGGGAGGTCAGTAAGGCAGGGAACCCATTGCTCCTCACAAGTATCTAGAAAAGCAAAGACACACTCCAGCATTCACCTTAATTTGCTACGGTCCAGGCCACCCATGCCCTGACTTAACATCTACGGCAGCCGCTAGCACTGCTAACATAAGGCCTCCAAGTGAGAGTACATATGTGTGCCCCAGCAGGCCTCTCCTCACTGCTCATCCTCTGCCTCTCTGGTCTCTCACAGTACCCTTCCCCGTAGTCTGGGGAGGCGATCAGAAGCCAGGCATCACACTCAGCACCTGGAGCAGCCACCCAGGCTTCTGCTCAGCAAGTTCCCTGCTAGGTGCAGGGGGTTCTGGCGTGACCTTCTCAAGGTGCAGGGGTTTCTGGTGTGATCCCAGCCACGGCAGAGCTCATGACCCTGTGGCTCTTCTCATTCTCCTCCCTGTGATGAAAATGGACCTACCACCACAACACTGGCATAGAGAAACCATGAACACTCATGATGTGGGTAGAAGACCCGTGGTACTAACATGCCTTCTGTTGCCGTCTCACAGCGTCACGGTTCTCTAGCCCACGTGTGACCCCTCGCCTGAGCCGCAAGCGGGCTCTGTCCATCTCCCCGCTCTCAGATGCTAGCCTCGACCTGCAGCGCATGATCCGGACCTCTCCCAACTCACTGGTAGCTTACATCAACAACTCAAGGAGCAGCTCAGCAGCCAGTGGCTCCTACGGGCACCTGTCGGCCGGTGCACTCAGGTGAGCCCCAATAGCAAGCAAGGCCCCTACAGCTAGAAGCTGGGCGAGGGCCACATGGCAGAGTCTGGTCTTACAGGTCTAGCTTTATACTGGAAAGAGATAGAACTTAATGTTACTGCCCCAACGCACTAGCAACTATATTGATAATTCAAAAGCAATAGTGAGGCTGGGGGTGTGGCTCTTTGGTAGCGTCCTTGGCTAGCATGCACAAGGCCTTGGGTTCCATTCCCAACACTGTATCAAACCAGGCATGGTGACACATGCCAGTAATAGTAGCACTCAGGAGACAGCGGCAGGAGAAGCAGAAGTTCAGAGCCATTGGCTACGTTGCCAGTTTGAGGACAGCCTGGGCAAAATGAGATGCTGTCTGAAAAGAACAACAAAGCAATAGTGACATAGGGCATTCACACCACACTGGAGTACATCCTCACATAATAAACCTGGCACCAGGCATCATGACAGCAGAGGTGGCCGGGGTCAGAAGTAACCTTGTTAGGAGCTGGGCAGATGACATAGTGGGTAAAAAACTAGCCACACTAAAGCCCTGAGTTTGAATCCTCAGAATCCACGTCAAGGGCCAGGCACATAGCACAAGTATCCAGGGCTCAGCACTCCTGTAGAGAGTCCTTGCAAGTTCATGGACGGCCAGCCTGTAACATGCTGCTACATATTACTGTTACATATTACATGTTACTGATCCTCGAAGTTGTCTCTGCCTTCCATATGTATACCAAGCCATGTTCCGTTACCTGCATTTAAAAAATGCTTAAAAATGCTACACATCTACACACATGCACACAATTATTAATGAGGGGGCTTTTCTAGTATGTCACTAGTATGACAGAGGGTATAGTTGACTAACAGGAAAGGCCACACCAGATGTGACACTGATGTGGTCCATGCCCTAAACACATCTCGAGGGTTGATAACAGGTCTCTCTGTTGTCATCAAGGCTGTTACCCCTTTCCATTCTGTGCTTCACTAGACCTTCCTGAGGACTCAGATCCCAACCAGCATGCATAAAACATGTACCAGTCCTGGCCCTGTCACTTGGGAGAGGGCTGGATACAGGTGCTTATGGTAGTTTACATAACATAGTTTGCATAACAGTTTCTCTCACACTGAGCTAAGCCCACATTGAGAAATTTGAGGCTGCTGGGGCTGGCTAGGTGGCTCAGCTATTATGAGCATTTGCTGCTCTTCCAGAGGACCAGATTTGGTTCCCAGCAGCCACACTGGGCACCTCATAATCACCTGTAACTTCAGCTCCAGGGGATCCAGTGCCTACTTCTGGTCTGTGAGGCTGCCTACACACGCTTGACATATACACACATAGCTGTAGCCATATAAATAAAAAATTTAAAAATGGATATTAATGAGGCTGACATAGCTCTGAGTTCCCCTTAAAACACTGAGGCTTCGTCATCGTTTGCAGATTATGGGGTGGCCTGGACCCTCTGTCTCCAGGAGCATACCCTCGGTACTATGGACAGGAGCCTGTACGTAGGGCCTCCTCATGGCAGCAGTTCGCACCAAAGAGATGCTGGGGGAGCAAGGAGGAAACCATATCTCTGGTGTCATAGCCTCAGAGGCCACCAGCGTCGATTCCCTCATCTCTTTGCCAGGAAAAAGTGGCTCACGGGCAAGTGTGTGACAGCTTGTAAGTGCAGCAGAAGCTAAAGAAGAAAGGGAATGGTGTGACCTGGACGGCTCTGTACCAATGAGGGAACACAGGGTCCAAGGCCAAGTGAATTCAAATAGACTGCAGTGCTTTGTGGGTACATCTCAGGTGTCAGAGCAGAGAAATAGCCAGGTCTGGGGCCAGCCTGCCTGGGGTCCAGGTTGCAGTCAAGGAGCTAGATGTGGGCTGTAAGGCTAAGCAAGAACAAGCCGTGGTCACGATGTGATTAGCAATGTGCCATTTTGAGCCTCAGAATACAGTTCTCTCTTCCCAGGAACTGTCGTTTTGACGGTGAATGTCCCCTCCTGCCCCCCCATCCTCTTCTGTTCTCCATTGCAGCCCAGCTTTCACTTTCCCCCACCCCATCAATCCTGTGGCCTACCAACAGATTCTGAGCCAGCAAAGGGGCCTGGGCTCAGCCTTTGGACACACACCACCCCTGATCCAGCCCTCACCCACCTTCCTGGCCCAGCAGCCCATGGCTCTTACCTCCATCAGCACCATGCCTACCCAGCTCAGCAGCAATAGCAGCGATTGTCTAAACGATGCCAACCAGGTAGGTGGCTGCAGGGGGGTGGGCCATCGCTCCTCACCCAGCCCCCATGCACAGGTCACGCTAGGAGCTGGCAGAGACCTCTGCACTGTAGCCTGGCTAGTTGATTGCTTTTAGGGCAGAGGCCACGTGATGGGAAGAGCCTTAAACTGGGCCAGAAGCTCTGGCCTGGGCCCATGGTAAGCCCCCCAGTCACTCAATTCTGTCTCCTGTCCAAAAGAAGCATGAAGGGATGAATAAACCCTTTAATGTCGAGACCCTGTGCCACACAAGGACACTTCATGCCTCAAGCAAAACAAGGTGTCTGGGCTCCACTGCCTCAGCAAGCCCTGGTTGGAGGGCCAGTCTCCCAGACTCAGTTTTTGTTGTTTCAAAATGCAGAAGAGTGTTGGCACTAGTTTTCAAACTCTATTTTATTTTGGTTTCTTATCCCTCTTCCTCCCTTCTCCACCTCAGTCCCTTCCAACACCCCAACACCAGGCAGGAGATAAAGAAAGTTAGTGGGGAAAGGGGGCAGGGTTCTCTTTGGCTACTTCCTGTTGGTTAGGGTCATTGGGTTCCTTGGGGGCAAGTCCAATCTTCGTTTCAGGGTACCTCCAACTTCTCGTCAGACTGCATCAACAGCACCCAGCAGCAGCAGCGGTGAGCAGCAGCCTTCTTCCCTGGGGCGCTCCAACACTCTCTGGGCTCTGGCATTTATCCCCTCTTCAGAGTCCTCAGAATTATTTGCCAGCTTTCTGCAGCTGGCAGAGAGCCCCTCTCAGAGCCTGCACAAGGCAGATAGTTTGCTGCTGTGAACAACCTCAATCAGCCCCATATCCCACACCTGGAATCAAAACAAAAACCTTTTTACAATAACATAACTGAGTTTTTAAAGACACCAAAACTTCCACTACAGAAGGGAGGAAAAGCTAAAAAGATAAGCCAGGAGTTGAAGAGCTTGTTTTGCAAGCATGAGGAACCTGAGTTCAATCCCCAGTATCCATGTTCAAAAAGCCAGGCATTGTGGGGCAGCTGTAGTGTATGCCCTTAATCCCAGCACTCAGGAGACAGAGAGGTAGAGCGATTCATTTTCTTTTGTTGTTGTTTTGTTTTGTTTTTCAAGAGAGGGTTTCTCTGTGTAGCCTTAGCTGTCCTGGGCCTTGTAGACCAGGGTGGCTTTGAACTCACAGAGATCCACCGAACCAGGGCAGTTTCTGAGTTTGAGGCCAGCTGTTCTACATAATGAGTTCCAGGGCAGCCGTGGCTGCACAGAAAATCACTGTGTCAAAATATGCATATGTATGTGTAAATAAAGCCAGGCCTCGTGATGGATACTTGTAAGCCTAGCTCTAGAGAGGGGGGGACAAGCGGCTCTGGGGCTTACTGGCCAGCTAGCCCTCAAAAAGATAAGGTGGGCGGTGACTAAGGAACACACTTGAGAATAACCTCTGATCTCCGCATACATGTGTGCAGGGGCACACAAATATACAGCACATTGCATATGTACTGTATACAGATTAACATGTACGTATATGTGTATACATACACACAAATCCAGGGCTATCCCAGATGGTCTACGGGTAAACTCCAGAGCCACAGCCCAGATAGAATTTTGGGGGTCCTCTGCCTTGTGCCTACATGACAGACTGTCCTCTGCCTCCTCCCTCAGAACAAGCCGAGCAGCGAGTCAGCTGTGAGCAGCACCGTGAACCCAATCACCATTCATAAGCGTAGCAAGGTCAAGACTGAGGCCGAGGGCCTGCGGCCAGCCTCCCCACTAGGACTGACGCAGGTAAACCTCCTGCCTGCTGCCACTGTCCTCATGCTAGGACCAGATTGGATCTCCTGGTCTGGCTGCTGGGCACCTAATGGTGACTGGATGGGGAATTGGGGAGGAGTGGGTGGATGGATGGATGGATGGATGGATGGATGGATGGATGGATGGATAATGGAAGGGGTAATGCAGATGGCCATCTGCAGAACGTAGAAAGTCAGTGTGGGTGGGCTCACAGAGCTGTGATCCTGATCACCCTGCACCTATATCATTTTTATCAAATATAAATGAATGAATGAATGAATGAATGAATGTCCCATACTTCCACCTTACTACATCTGCTATGACAGAACTAATGAATAAATACATACAGTTTCTTCCCTTCCACCTTGCTTCAGGCTGCTATTACCCCCACATACTCACAGCCTCAGCCTTGAGACTGAGCTGCTCAAGTACCCTAAGTGCATCTGGTCTTCAAGGCTGCCCCCTCTCCTGGAGCTCACTGCTCACACAGTATCCTTTACTCTGGGTGCTCCTGGGTAAGGGGACTTGCAGGCCCTTGGATGCCCACTGCTTGGTCACTTCAATTGGGGGGAAGGACACTTCCTGGTGGGGAGAGAGGATGGGCCAGCTGTGGCATGCAGCCAGCTTGAGTGTGCCCAGACTCTACAGAGAGCCCTTCGCCCTGCTACTTGCTCTGCTCCCTAGGAGGACACACAGGCTACTCTTGGAGCAGGGGCCTGCCATGTGAAAGGCTGAGCATCTGCTGACCTTGGCTTCAAGCCTCCTAGCCCTAAGCCATCACAGTGGCAGAGTCTTCCTGTTATCCCAGAGTTCGCAGTCAACAAGGATGCTCAGGGCCGCCCTCCAGTCCCTGGCTTCCAGCATCTGCTGGCCCATTCTTTATCAAGACTGTAAACCATCAGGCATGCTCTAGGCACTTAATTTTCATGAAATATAGGGTCCTCTTATTGTCAGGCAAACAGAGGGGTTGGTGACAAATTCTTCTCCCCTCACTGACACCAGCGCCAGTCTGAACATGATGCATAGTTTCCACGAGGCTGCCCGTCATGGGGAGGGGGTGTGTGTTGAAATTGATGAGGACAGCAACAACCAGGGAAGATAAACATGCAGGAATGTTGAGGACAGGGAGGGACCCCAGGATGGTTGTTTGCCAAGCACCTTGGAGTCTCATTCACCATCCGTGGGTGAGGCCTCATTACTGCCCTACACGCAGAGGCCTTTCTGCCCAGCGCCAAAGCCTTTAAAAAACAAAAACTGTTCACAAGGAGCAGAAAGACGATTCAGTCAGTAAAGTGCTAGCCACACAAGCCTGAGGGCCTGAGTTTGAATCCTGAGCATCCATGTGAAATAGCTGGGCACAGTGACATGTGCCTATAATCTCAGTGCTGGGGAGGCAGTCGCAGGTGGCTCCCTGGGGCTTGCTGCTCAGCCAGTCTAGCTGCATCAGCAAGCTCTGAGTTCAGTGAGACCCTGTCTCAATAAAACAGAGTGGGCAGTGACTGAGGAATGACAGCTGAGGCACTTGCTGTCTAGCTTTCAATTCATTCACAACGATGTCCCTGAAAACACACACACACACACACACACACACACACACACACAGTTATTATACAGAGCTACATAAAGTTTCATGTAAGCGTGTAAGGTCTTTCAAGCATTCTCCCCATACCCTGGCTCCCTCTGCCTTCTCACTAGTCCCCCACCTCCACCTTTATTCCCCTTGACAGCTTTGCTCCTACTCTTATGTCATCTGTACAGATAGGATTCTTTTTATCTATAAAGTCAAGGACTCAGAAGTGAGAGAAAGAATCTAGTATTTGTCTTTCTGAGATTGGTTAACAAAGTTCCTTCCTGTGATTATTTTGTTGCATTCATCCAACAGGATAGCAAGGGCAGGGGAACTAAAGTCAGGAGGACAGGCAGTCCACTTTCCCTTGTCTAGCATTGTGCTTAGAGTTTCAGTACGCACAGCTGATACAACCAGGGGGTAAGTGTGATACAAATAGGAAGGGAAAGGGCTAGAGCACCCTTAATATGCAGATAACATATCGTGTACGTCATGGATGAGGCCATAAAGACCCCACTAACAAACTCTCAGAGTTGATGAACACTTGTAGCAAAAATGGCAGGATACAAAATGAACACACAGAAATCAGTAGCCTTCCCGTGTACCAGCAACATGCAGAGAAAGAAACCGTAAAACATTGGGCGTGGTGGTTACATTGCTGGAATCCCAGCACTCTGGAGGTGGAGACAGGAGTACTGGGAATTTCACACCAGCCTTGACAGCATAGTGTGTGCAAGACTTGAGATATGTGAATCCCTATCACAAATAAATGAAGGGATGGGAGCACAGGAAGACAGTCTGTTCACAGTCACTGCAGAGGGCTTTTCCTTGCAGAGTCAGGCTCCGTGTCACTCCATGTTTGGTTCACTGCAAGGGCTTGCCTCTCTTTGGCAGAAAAGATAGAGTAGTAATTTTGTTCTCTGCTGAAGCCCTCAAATTGCAGACTGGGAGGATTCCTGCCTTGGCCTTGGAGTGGCCCACAGCTGGGCCTGCTGCTCTGAAAGGAGCAGAGCCTGTAGTAGAGGAGGAGTGAACGTATTCCCAGATGTTCTTCTGTTACGCTGTGGCCATGAGGAGTCTCTGCAGTCTCCTCTCAGCAGCCCCTGGCGGCTAGATCCCCGGAAGTGAGGCATCTTCCTGACTGGCCTGCTCAGTGCAGTCAGAGAGCTTGCTCACCTCAACATAGTGACAGCATTGCCCTCTGCAGAGCAAGGGCGTTTGTTGAGAAGGTGCCCGATGGTGACCAGGAGTTCCTTTTGGAAGAGGTTGTAGCCCCAGCACAGAGTCAGAGAGGGCCTGCGTTTGTGGCCCACCCTGGGAAATCCTGCTCTTCTGAGATGAGCTCTCTGTCACTAAGTGACCATGTCACAGGACATCCAGTTCTTAACCTGCAACAGTTTGTCAGCACTGCGCTTGCTTCCCGGAGGCTTTTCTTGTGTTTTATTTATTTATTTTTGTTTGTTTTGTTTTGCAGTATGGGAAATTAGACCTGAGATCTTGTGTGTTAGGCCAACATTCTTGATTTAAAGCTACAACCCAGGAGCTCTTTTGGAGAGTTGGGATACATTCCTGTTTTTAAGAATAAGTTGAACATGGCCAGGTGGTGCATGCATGCCTTTAATCTCAGCATTCCACTCAGAGGCAGACAAATCTCTGAGTGCAAGGTCAGCCTGGTCTACAGAATGAGTTCCAGGACAGCCAGGGCTACTCAGAGAAAACAACAACAAAAAAAAGTAAACCGTAATGCAAATCTATGTAACATTGCTTCTGGCCTTGGGTTGCCTCCCAGAATGCCTGGCAGACCCAAGGAACTGGATTGTCATCAACAGACTTCATGGGCCCTCTCTGGACCTTGCCTCTCAGCCTGGGGTACCTCTACCTGTCCTTAGCCACCATTCCAGGCAGGTCCTCTGCAACCTGAGTCTTTCTTTAGGCTTCATAACCCAAATTGTGGTCAAAAGAATGTTCCGTTTCCATGTTATTGCTGTGATAAGACACTGACCAAAAGCCTGTAGGAGAGAACAGGATCCGTTAGCTTACACTTCTAGGACAAGGTCAGGAACATGAAGCAGGACAAGGTCAGGAACATGAAGCGGTAGTCACAGAAGAGTGGTGTTTGCTAGTTTGTCCTCAGCTAGCTTTCAGCTTAAGACCACCTGCCTTAGGCATGGTGCCACCCACAGGTCCCACCACACCAATTAACAATCAAGACAACTGCCCACAGACCCATCTGATCTAGTCAGTACCTCAACTGAGGCTCCCCTTTCAGGTGACAGTTAAAGCTAACCAGAAAGGAGACACAAGTACAGATCTAGGCTACTCCAGACTCCGTATGTGCTGTGGAAAGGAGAATCCATGCCTCCCCGAGCCTCAGTTTCCCCAGCTGTGGTACAAGAATGAAGAATCCGAGTTTAGGACTGTGGCAGGGAAAGGTGCCTGACAGTGTCTGGGGTCTGCATTCTCTCTGTAGAGTGCTTGAGAGTTGGTGGTGCTGTCATGATGTGAGTGGAGTGCACTTAACACTTAACAATGTTTCCATCTGCAGGGATTGTGGGGCTCACCTGGGACACCCATAGTGGAAACCAAAACACTAAGTAGAAGTCAGGGCCGTCCTTTCTCCTATTCACGTGTAAATCAGGAGGTGGGGCAGAGATGTTCTGGTCAGAATCTCTTCCTGATGGCCAAAGAACAGGAAGGGCCCAGGATAGTTGCCTGCCTCAAGTGTTTTCCTCAGCCTGAGCTGAGGAAATCAAGAAAGGCTGATGAGTGTGAGTCTGTGTGCATATGTTGTGTGTATACACATGGATGCATGCATTGTATATGTGCGTGTGTGCGTGTGTGTGTGTGTGTGTGTGTGTGTGTGTGTGCACGCACGTGGTGTATGTGCAAATGTGCGTCCACACCTGTGCTAGCCTAGAGTCCTTGGTATAACCCCTTGAGTTTAATGTCACCCTCTCCTCAGGACCAGGGAAGCAAGCATGGCTCATATGGATGTGCTCTTCCCTTCTCCCAGGAGCAGCTGGCTGATCTCAAGGAAGACCTGGACAGGGATGACTGTAAGCAGGAGACCGAGGTGGTCATCTATGAGACCAACTGCCACTGGGCAGACTGCACAAAGGAGTATGACACGCAGGAGCAGCTAGTGCACGTAAGCCTTCGTTCCCAGTTCCTGCCCAACCACAATGGTCCTAGAGCCTTCCAAGGCCTGTGCTTCAAAGGGGTGGGAGGTGGAGCCCCATCACTGGCAAGTGGGAGGCATGGGGGCCAGGTGCCTCTGAGCCCCCTCACCTCATCCCAAACACATACATAGCACATGAAAGTCCAAGAAAATAGGGAAGTATGAGAATAAGGAAAAGGAATGATGAAGAGGAGCCCCCTACACCCACTAGGGGCGGTGTGGAGTGAAAGTGACTGCTCTGAACGCTTGTGAATTTCCTTCTGGGACTGGCTCAAGCAAAAGAACAGAAGTGACAATGTAAACAGATGTTCCATGGCTGGGGAGACAGCTCAGTCAGCAAAGTGCTTGGAAGGCCCGGTTTCAGCACCCAAGAACCCTTTTAAAAAGTTCTGGGCATGCGGTCAGATGCCTTTAACCCTAGCACTGATGAGAAGGCCACACAAGAGGCACATGCGTGCCTGGGGTTCTCCCAACTAACCCAGCCTGCCTGCTGAGTTCCAGGCCAGTGAGAGTCTCTCCCTGGAAAACCAAGGTGGAAATACCTAGCAGACAGAATCCTTTAGCCAGCTAGAGTCCTGTCTTGACCTAGGAAGGACTGCGTTAGCGATATCTCTTTTTACCTGGCTGTAGAAAGAGGAGGCTGTTCTACAAACGAGGCCCCGTCTTTGCCTAGCAGTGCCGCTCTGCTCTCTGGGAAGATGAATGGCGAGCCAGAGCCCCTGTCCATTATTAACAATTTGTCGCTAAGTAAACCAATAAGAAAAAAATGAAAGGCATAGTCAGGGAGCATTTTTCTCATTTGAAAGGCTTTATGAATGGAGAGGGAGGCTGAGAGGAGAAGATTTTTCTGGAAGTTCAAAGGGCTGCTGCCTTGCTTGCTCCCATGGTGGTGCTATCGACGCACAACAGTTGGGCATGCTACATAGGGCATCAGGCCAGCGGCTTTTCATCTTCTACGACAAGGTGCTGCCAGGGCCTGCCACTCAGTTCCTGGACAGCTGTGCAGATTGTAAATGTCTTTTCTGGGAGAGACAACAGCATGGGAGTTTACATTTCCCAGGAGTACCCTGTAAAAGCACAAAGAAGCAGAAGTCAGGCGGTGGCCTTGCTGTGTCCTTGGGTGACCCCACCTCTCTCATCTAGGCCATTTAGTCCCGGGGTCAGCCTGGCACCATGCCTAGAGCCCCAGCTGAGGATCAGGATCTAGTTGTAGCCCCTCCTCAAAAACAGAGCTGAGGAAGCTCTGTCTTTACTGCTAGGACACTTCCTTTATAACCCTCTAAAGTCAGAGTTTCAGTATGTCTGCCTCTCTGCATACTTAGTCAGTGCCTGGTGCTGATCCGTCAGGAACATCTCCATACTCACCACATTGCAGTCACCCCGAGGAAACAGATGAAGGAGTGCATGCTGCTGCCCCATGTCTTCTAGCGTTTATACAGTCCAGGATCCTGTAAAGGAATGGAGTAACCAGTAGGCAGGTCTTCATGCCTCAACACTGACACACTAGCATCCTGCAGGCCTGCCCGGGAGCCTCTCTCTCAGTGGATTCTAGACTCTGCCAGGTTGACAGTTAATGCTGTCCTGGTTGCTGTGTAACACAAGCGAGCTCGTAGGTGGGTCCTGCTGCTGAAGTTCCCAGCTGACAGAGTACCTCCCCGGTTCACAGGGCTACACAGGAAGTTGATTTATTTTCATTACAGACTCCCTGTGAGATTTCCAGAAAATATCTAGGAGAGGAATAAGGCATGTTCAAGGCCATCTATGCTCAAGGCTAAACATAGTTTGTTGCTATTTTAACATTTTCATTTGAAAGTATTTTCTCCAAACCAGCTGCCTTCACAGCAAATGCTAATTGTGTTAGAATTCCTGATTATCACACAGTGAGAGGCTCCTCTCCCTGCCCTGTCCCTATTATTTCCTTGTATTTCTACCCTGCCCTGCAAAGTCAGAGGAATGAGTGGAGTTATTAGTTATGTCTGAGTAGGTGTAACCAACTAATAGAGCCAGTTTATGCAAGGGAGTGGAAGTGGGGGAGAGGTACTTTGGCTCACAGTTTCAGAAAGTTCAGTCCTTGGTCACTTGGCTCTTGGTGGAGCAGAGCTATTTACCTAGTGGCAGAGTAGCTACTGTAGCGATCCAGGTGAGGGTTCTGTGTGTCCTAGGTAGAGGCTTCGGGATGGGACGGTGGTCCACGGTGGTCTGTGGGATGAGGGGCTCTGCACACAGGATGGTCCCAACTGAGTAGAAAATGAGCAGTGCTCTACAGCCCAGGGAGGTTGTTGTTTTTAAACAAAATCCCAAAGGTTCGATTTTACCAACAAAGACTCAGGAGTGAAAGCCTACTGTCTCAGAGAGGCACAGAAAGCACCCAGCTGACATTTCTCCTCAGCCAATGTACCAAAAGGAAAAAGCCCCATCTTCTCCATGCTGTCTTTAAAAACCCCTCAAACTGAATGTCCCTCCTTTCAACTTCCTGTGCGTCTCTCTGTCTGTCCTCCAGACTTCCTCACTCTCTATGTTTTTTTCCTATGTTTGATCCCTGTCAACTGGTTGCTTGCTCTGCCGCTTGACTTATGGTTGACTTTACTTAACCCTATTTACAGAAAGCACTTGGATTGAAGGTGTGTGCTAGGGCTGAGTCACACCTCAGAAACAGATTTTTTCAGTACACAGTCTCGGGGTTCACAGTGTGATCAAATATCCTGCAACAGGAGGTGGCACCTAAACTCACACACGCTGTCCTTGTCTGGCCTCCCTGCAGCACATCAACAACGAGCACATCCACGGGGAGAAGAAAGAGTTCGTGTGCCGCTGGCAGGCCTGCACCAGAGAGCAGAAGCCCTTCAAGGCCCAATATATGTTGGTCGTGCACATGCGCAGGCACACGGGTGAGAAGCCGCACAAGTGCACGGTGAGCCTCCTCCCACGGCGGACCCCCTGCGACACAGCTGCCGGTGGGCCCTGACCCCCAGCTCTGACCCCCAGCAGCTCCTACAGCTTCCTAAGGACAAGCGATACTGAACCAGCTATTTATGCATTTAGAAACAAGGGGAATAGAAGGGGGTTAACATGCAAAGAAGGCAGAGAACAGCTTGCCAGACTCTTTCTCATTTCATGGGTCCCAGAGATGGTGTTCTGGGCATGAGGGTTGACAGCACCTTTATCCAGTGAGAATCTCCCCAATCCCTATTTGTGCATCTTCTTTGGAAAACAGTACTTGTCATTTTGTTGTTTGGTTTTAAGAATTCTTTCTGCAACTAGGTTCTAGAATCATTATCAGACATACAGTTTGCAAATTTTTTTTTCCAATTCTGTGTGTTGTCTTCATTTTCTTGATAATTTCCTTTGAAACACACAAAAGCTGAGTTTAGTGAAATCTAGTTTTTAGCTGTTGTAACTGAGAAATGACTGCCTGTCCTGTGGTCACAGTGATTTAACAATCCCTGCTGCTTTGTTTCTTCTAAGAGTTCGGCAGGAGGAGAAGGTAGAAATGACTCAGCTGATACATGTACTGGCCTGGGCATGCACAAAGCCCAGTGCCACACACGCTGAGTGTGATGTGCATGCTTATAACCCCACCACTTGGGACATGGAGGCAGGAGGATCAGAAGCTCAAGGCTATTCTTAGCTACATAGTGAGTTTGAGCCATCCTGGGCTATGTGGGATCCTGTCTCAAAAATGATACAAAGCAGGAACTGGAAAGATGGCTCAACATTTCAGAGTGCTCATTGCTCTTCCATAAGAGCCGGGTTCAATTCCCTATACCAACATGCTGGCTTTCAATTGGTTGTAACTCCAGGTCCAGAGGATCCATCACCCATTTCTGGCTCTTTGAACACCAGGCACGCTTGTGGTGTACAGACATATGTACAAACAAAACACCCATAAATATAAAATAAAAAATGAATAAATAAATCTTTCAAAATAAATAAAAGATAGTTAATAATAACAGCTGGATTATGGAGAAATCAGAACCTTCATACACTGCCAACAGGAATATGAAATAGTGAATAATTGGACAGCTTATAAATGTGTGCTTTTGTTTATGTAAATATCACACATACATACATGCTCATGTATTTCACAGTAAAGCTCTTCCATCGAGGTCTTCAAGATGTCTGAATTATAATTTTATACTTTCGGTGTTTTCTGGAGGAAAGACTAACTGTCATTACTAAAACGCATGCTTTGGGGTGTACAGGTGGGAAGGAGTGCCACAGGACAGGGCAGGAAGGAGGGTGCAGGAGAGCCCTGGATCCAGCTGCCTGAATTACATCTGGAGTGCTCTTTCTAACCAATCCACCTCCTTCCAGTTCGAAGGCTGCTCAAAGGCCTACTCTCGCCTGGAGAACCTGAAGACACACCTGCGGTCCCACACAGGAGAGAAGCCATATGTGTGTGAACATGAGGGCTGCAACAAGGCCTTCTCCAATGCCTCGGACCGTGCCAAGCACCAGAACCGCACTCACTCCAATGAGGTACTCACTGTGGGGATGTGCAGAGATGTACGCATTGGCCCTGGCACGTGTGGAAATGCACTGCCCCTAACTAGTGGAGAGCTGTGTTTTAGTTTCATTTCTATTGCTGTGGTAAAATACCCTGACAAAGAGCAGCTTAGGAAGAAAGGGACCCATTTCAACTTACAATTCCAGGTTACAATCTATTGTGGGAAAGTCAACCTCAGATAGTCATGTCACATTCATAGTCCAGAGCGAAATGAGCACATGCATGCATGCTTACTTGACGGCTTGTGTTGAGCTCTATTTCTACTGTCACACAATTCACAACCTAGGGAATGATCTGCCCACAGTGGGCTGGGTCTTCCCATATCAATCAGATTAATTAAGACAATGCCCCCACAGATATACCCACAGGCCAGTCCAAAAGAACATAGAATGGCTTCAGAACGGGTATTGCACCAGAGTTTGTCCTTGGGTTCCTGTCCATAACCCAGGCCTGGCTATCTTCCTAGAAACCCTATATCTGCAAGATCCCAGGCTGCACCAAGAGGTACACAGACCCCAGCTCACTCCGAAAGCACGTGAAGACTGTCCATGGGCCAGATGCCCACGTCACCAAGAAACAGCGCAACGATGTGCATCTCCGTGCTCCTCTGCTCAAGGAGAATGGGGACAATGAGGCCAGTGCTGAACCAGGTGGACGGGGACCTGAGGAGAGTGTGGAGGCCAGTAGCACCAGCCACGCTGTAGAGGACTGCCTACATATCAAAGCCATCAAGACAGAGAGCTCCGGGGTAAGACAGAGCTGGGTGCCAGCTGGCAGAGGGCAGTTCCCAGCTCTGCCCAAGGCCCAGAAGCCCAGCCTCCCCTGAGCATTCTGCTAGAGCATACCCTTCTCAGAATAAAATGATGCCCCTTCTTGCTCCAATTCAACTTTCCTCCTTTGTCCCCTTGCACCCCTCATGAATTCTGTCTTGTTTCGTTCACCTTCTCTGACCTAGCTCCTGCTGGGCACCTGAGGCTGAGGCTGGGGAATGCCCTTCCTCCATGCTGGTCTGCCCAGGTTGTGTTTGCCTCCGAGACCCGGATGCCACTGTGGTCCCCCCCCCCGACCTCGTCTGTGTCCTCCCCTCTCTAGCCTCCACTCCTTTTGTTCTAACCACCTGTTCTTTGTCTCCACCTCTTTTTCCCAACTGTACCTCCCCTAAGGATAGACGCTACTGAGGTGAGCAGAGGAACGGGGTGGGGTTGGGAGTGCCCAGGGTGAGAGGGTGGGCTGGGGTGCTACTTCAGTGCCCCTGGCTGGGCAGAGATTGAACTGGCTTTTGGAGAGGCAGGTGTTGGGTAGCACCATGGGAATAGGTAGAGGTAGGCAGCAAGAATGAGGCTGGCATGTGCGGGGAGCAAGGGAGGACAGGGGTGAGTCTTGACTAGATGGAGCAAAGAATTGTGGAGGGCACCATAGTCAAGACATGGGGTGCCCTGCTTGTCGGGAGCATCTCCCCTAAATTGGGTATGTAGTGTTACTGTATCTTCCCAAGGAAGAAAGCAGGGACAGGGACATCATTTGACCCAGAAATGAGCCTCAAACTACTGCATCCAGGATTTGCTTCCAGGCCCAGATCTCAGGCAATGCTGGATGCTCTAGAGTACTTGGTTTTCTTGATTTATTTGCCTGCCCCACTCCAGCCCAGAGGGAGAGTCAAGTATTGTACTTTCATTCCTATTGCTCTGACAATAACCCTGACACACAGCAAGGGGGGACAGATGTGAGGAGAGGATTTGAGCTCCAATTCCACATTCCTACCCACCATTTTTGGGAAATCAAGACAGGAACTGAAGCAGTTAGACACACCACAGGCACAGTCAATGGAGCAAAGAGAATCCCACAGCTTCTCACAGCTGCACTCTGAGACAGCTCAGGTGTGCCCTGAACATGCACAGCCCATGTCCCAACGCTACCACATTTCCCACAGGTCTTCCCACATTCCATTAACAATTAAGACAACCCCCACAGGCATGCACACAGACCAACCTGATACAGATAATCCTTATTAGGAATCTCTTCCCAGGTGAGTCAAGACTGTCACATTGATACATAAAAGTAATGCAGGCAATGCCACACTCCATGGCTCCCCACCCCCAGTATTCTTTCCCTTCTTAAGCACCTAGGCCTGGCCTGTCGAGAGCACCCTGTGCTGTAGAAGGCAGCTGGCCAACAAGTCACCAGAGTGCTGTTACCCTCACTTCACTGGGGGCACGTCAGTCGGCGGGACTGTGTTGAATACCTTTTTTCTGGGTAAACTTAGTCACCTTCTTCCCGCAATAGGACAAATCCTCACACATGTCTCTACTTGGAAGTCAGTTTGGGTCAATCTCATAGTTGGGAAAGAGGCCCAAGGTTAGACTTAACCATCTCATGCAGGTGCACAAGGGATGGTGTTTTCAAAGTAGTTCCCCGCTTCCTCGTGTCCCTGCCCAAGCATGCACAGCATGGTGTGACTGTGGGAGGGTCACGGGACCAGGTGACATCTCACACCCTCTGAGCCTGTGTCCTCTGCCTTGTCCCAGCAGCTGTGTCAGTCCAGCCCCGGGGCCCAGTCATCCTGCAGCAGCGAGCCCTCTCCCCTGGGCAGCGCCCCCAACAATGACAGCGGCGTGGAGATGCCAGGGACAGGGCCCGGGAGTCTGGGAGACCTGACAGCGCTGGATGACGCGTCTCCGGGAGCTGACACCTCCACGCTGGCTGCCCCCCCGACTGGCGGCCTGCAGCTGCGCAAACACATGACTACCATGCATCGCTTTGAGCAGCTGAAGAGAGAGAAGCTCAAGTCCCTCAAGGATTCCTGCTCGTGGGCTGGCCCAGCTCCACACACCCGCAACACCAAGCTGCCTCCCCTCCCAGCCAATGGTGAGTGAGGCCCCCGGGCCTAATGAGCCAGGTAGGAGAGAGCCTGAGCTGTTTCCCCCAGGTGCCATGCACAGTCTGACTGGCTGCCCACATGGGGCAGATCAGAGGGCTCCAGGTTCTTATCAACTTAATCAAAGAACTGAAGAAGCCCCCGAAAATAGCAAAAAAGAGAAAAGATTTATTCAGAATCGAAGCGTGAGGACAGGCCAGTTTACGAGCTCAAGAGTTCCTGGTTATTGCCCTTAACTTCTCTAGGGCTAGGAAGAGGAGGAGCTGTTGCCAGGGGCCAGGTGTAGATGGTCTTTAAGTTTGATTGGCAAGCATAGGTTATATAAGTCTGAGTTCACTGGGCATGTCCTGATTTTAACCGTTTGCGCACCCAATCTTATATATGAGTATGACATGATAAATGGGCGGTTTCCCTAAAAAGTTCTCTCAAAGGATATAGTTTCCCTTACTGCACCCCAGACAAGTGCAAGCTTGAACAGCCTGGTCCCTTGGTTGTAGGTTGTGTTCAGGTTGTATGTTGCATGTTTGGCCACTAAAGGTTCCTACGCGCTGGTAGGGAACTAGAGGACAAAGTGACCAGGTTCCTTTGTTTGGAGAGGGTTTAGCTCAGTGCAGGTGCACGCTCTTAATGCAGAGGTGCTCTGCCAGCAAAGGGAGCATGCGCAGTGTCAACCAAGTGCAGTCCGATTGCTAAGCTTTCCATGCGCTCACCTGTTTCAACCCTACCTTGTGCTGCATGGAAAAGAAACAGGCTGAGAGAGATGAAGGTGACCCACCCAAATGCCAGCAGCGAGCAAGACTTAGCTCAGGTCTGTGCAGCTCCAACGTGCATGCTGTTCTCCATGCAGCGTGCCCCCGTAAGCCTCAAAACACAGGCAGCCCCTGCTGCATCTCCTTCCTCATCTAGCCATTCAGCACTTCGGGTGTCATGGCAAAGGCTCAGGGAAAGGAAGACGGTAAGATCATCATCAAAAAGGAGCCATGGTAGGACTCATATGAGAACAAGCCACAGAGTACCAAAGACAGAGCTGGGTTACTGATGTTCATGAGAAATGAGCAGCGGAGCATCATGAGGATGTGGCCTTATGCTCAGCAGGCTCTTTTATCGGCAGGAGCATCTCTGGAGTCACACTGGGCACATAGACCCCAGGCTGCCCGTTATGGTGGTGTACATTGGCACACTACCAGCCAAGGTAGTGTTGCAAGTACTGCTAGCAGAAGGCTGTGAACTCTGCAGGTCTGGGATCTCTTGGGTTGCAGACAGGTTCCTCCACTCAGGTCATGACTGTTCATAGGGAACCTGCCCATCCACCTCAGCCCTGAAGTGCAGCAGTGAGAGGCCTTGACCAAACTCTGCAATTTGGGCTCGCTTCTCATCTGCCTACTCTAAGATCAGCCTATACAGCATAGGGAGACCCCGCCTCAAAATAGAAAGAGAAAGGAAGGAAGAAAGGGAGGGAGGGAGGGAGGAAGGAAGGGACGGCTTGGAGGTGCAGCTCAGTTGGTGGAGTGCTTGCCTGGTAGGCTCATGTCCCTGAATTAAATGTTCAGCACCAAGTCAATGATGTGACGTGGTGCACAGCTGTAACTCCAGCTCTCAGGAGGATCAGAAGTTTAAGGTCATCATTGGTTACAGGCCAACCTGGGATACCTAAGAACTTTGTCTTCAAGAAGAAAGTAAGAAAGAGAGAGAGAGAAAGCCTCCATGTCAGAGGACATAGTTCCCATGGGTCTGGTCCCTCCTGAACCAGGCTGTCAGTAATCCTATTGTAGGTACAGATGCATTTTATATACATCTAAAGAAACTGGGGCGCTTCTGTCTGTAGCCCTGGCTGTCCTAGAGCTCACTCTGTAGACCAAGCTGGCTTCAAACTCAGAGGTCTACCTGCCTCTGCCTCCCAAGTGCTGAAACTAAATGTGCCATCTCACCCAGCTTCCTCCTTCCCGTCTTCCATGCAGAACTCTTCCACAGTTGAGTGCCTGCTGTGTGCCTAGCCTTGTGTCAGGGGCTCCACACTCAGCTGGTCAAGGGGGCTGGGTAGAGGAACTGGTGACCAGGGACAGGGTGTAGGTGGTCTTTTGGTTTGGGGAAGTAGCTGAAGCGTCCTTTCACAATCAGCAAGTCCGAGTCCTGTGGAGCACAGCCCTTGACCCCCTCTGACCCTTCCCTTCTTCCCTAGGTTCTGTCCTGGAAAGCTTCAACAGCACTGGGGGCGGTGGGCCAGCGGGACTGCTGCCCAACCAGCGGCTGCCAGAGCTGACGGAAGTGACGATGCTGAGCCAGCTGCAGGAACGGAGGGATAGCTCCACCAGCACCGTGAGCTCAGCCTACACCGTGAGCCGCCGCTCCTCCGGCATCTCCCCCTACTTCTCCAGCCGCCGCTCCAGTGAGGCTTCCCCTCTTGGTGCCGGCCGCCCGCACAATGCCAGCTCGGCAGACTCCTATGACCCCATCTCCACAGATGCCTCCCGGCGCTCCAGCGAGGCGAGCCAGTGCAGCGGTGGGGTCCCAGGGTTACTCAACCTCACGCCTGCGCAGCAGTACAGCCTGCGCGCCAAGTACGCAGCAGCCACGGGTGGACCACCACCCACGCCACTGCCGGGCCTCGAGCGTGTAAGCCTTCGTACCCGCCTGTCGTTACTAGATGGTCCCGAGCGTGCCCTGCCCGGGACCTGCCCACATCCGCTGGGGCCGCGGCGTGGCAGCGATGGGCCTGCCTACGGCCATGGTCATGGCCATGGCTATGTAGGGGCGGCTCCTGCCTTCCCTCACGAGGGGCCCAGCAGCAACATGCGACGGGCCAGCGACCCTGTGCGGCGACCTGACCCCCTCGTTCTGCCTCGAGTGCAGCGTTTCCACAGTACCCACAATATGAATCCAGGTTCACTGCCACCCTGCGCCGATCGGCGAGGCCTGCATCTACAGAGCCACCCCAGCATGGATGGCAGCCTGACCCGCAACGCCTACTCCCCCAGACCGCCTAGCATCAGTGAGAACGTGGTGATGGAGGCTGTGGCCGCTGGGGTAGATGGAACCGGGCTGGAGTCCGACCTGGGGCTGGTGGAGGATGAGCTGGTGCTGCCGGACGATGTGGTACAATACATCAAAGCTCACACCGGCGGCGCCTTGGATGACAGCACACGGCAGGTGTATCCCACAGAAAGCGCTGGCTTCCCCGAGAACTCGAAACTGCCCAGTCCTGGGCTACAAGGCCACCGCAGGCTGGCAGCTGCCGACTCAAATGTGGGCCCTTCTGCTCCTGGGCTGGGGGGCTGCCAGCTGCGCTACAGCCCCTCAACCAACCTCAACAAGAACAACATGCCTGTTCAGTGGAATGAGGTGAGTTCTGGTACCGTGGACGCCCTACCCACCCAGGTCAAGTCTTTCCCGCACAGCAATCTGGCCGTGGTTCAGCAGAAGCCAGCCTTTAGCCAGTATCCAGGATATAGTCCACAAGCCCTGCAGGCCAGCTCTGGGGGTCTAGACAGCACCCAACCACACCTACAGCTTCGAGGAGCGCCCTCTGCGCCCAGGGGGAGCTACGCTCAGCAGTCTCGACAGCCAGCCACAGGCGGTCAGTGCCTGAGCATGGCTGCTGCCATGAGTCCTCAGGCCAGCTACAGCCATGCCCACTCCCAGCTGAGCCCAAACGTCGTCAGTGGACCCCTGAACCAGTTCTCCCCTTCCTGCAGCAATATGGCAGCCAAGCCCAGCCACCTGGGACTCCCTCAGCAAATGGAAGCTATCCCCAATGCTACCATCATGAGTGGCCATCAACGGGATCTCGGGATTCCCAGCTCATCCCTGGCTGGGGTGTCCCAGTCTCACCCGGTCCTGAGCTATCCCCAGCAGGAAGGCTACCAGCAGGGCTCCAGCCTTCTGTCATCCCATCAGCCTAGCTTCATGGAGTCCCAGCAGAACGCGGGCTTTGGTCTCATGCAGCCTCGGCCGCCCCAAGAGCCCAACACTGCTAGCCGTCACCGTGGAGTGCGTGCTGGGCACTTGTATGCCAGGACCACTGGCCAAGCCATGGTCACATCAGCCAACCAAGAGACAGCGGAAGCTATGCCCAAGGGAACAGCAGGGCCCGTGGTGTCCCTGGCTCCTCAGCCATCTCAGGACACAGGCCAGCCACAGGACCAGAACACACTCTACTACTATGGCCAGATTCACATGTATGAACAGAACGGAGGGTGCCCAGCCATGCAGCCCCAGCCATCACAACCACAAGCTTGCTCAGACAATATCCAGCCTCTGCCTTCACCAGGGGTCAACCAAGTGTCCAGCACTGTGGACTCGCAGCTCCTGGAGCCCCCCCAGATTGACTTTGATGCCATCATGGATGATGGCGATCACTCAAGTTTGTTCTCTGGTGCACTGAGCCCCACCCTTCTCCACAATCTCTCCCAGAATTCCTCACGCCTCACGACACCCCGGAATTCTTTGACACTGCCCTCCATCCCTGCAGGCATCAGCAACATGGCTGTTGGAGACATGAGCTCCATGCTCACCAGCCTGGCTGAAGAAAACAAATTTTTAAATATGATGACCTAATGGCTCTAGCTCCTGGCAGAGCAGACCTGAGCACCATTAGCTTCTTGGAACACGAGGGTCTAACCAGTTCTCTTTGTCCAAAAAAGTAATAACTAGGCCTGAGAGGGGCTGGGCGGTGGCTGGCTCAGACTTGCAAATATTTTAAGAAAAGATTCGGGGCATCCTCTCTGCTGTTTGGCCTATTTCTCTGAACACTGAAAAAGTCTTATTCAGAAAGAAACTCGTTTACACGATGCTTGCCAGCCTTTGGTGTTTATGGGATTACTAGGTTCTGGCTTCTTTGCCTCTGTCATTCTGCTAATGAGAGAGTACATTGGCCAAGGGCTTTCTAAGTACATGCCCAAAGAGGGGAGGGGAACCATGTTTGGGTTTGAATTGGGGACCATGCTGGATACTCTGCTCTGAGAAGATGGGTTTGCCATTCTGCCACCTGCAAGGAAAGGGGATTGCTGTCCCCCTCCCCCCTCCCCGGACTCATCCATGAAGCTTGCCAAAGTTGCTTGCCACAAAGGAGAAAGGGACATTATGGAGCCTCCTCAGCTGCCATTAGCATTCCCATTCCCTTAGGCAGAGCGGGACCAGCAGATTTCCCAAGTGGAGAAGAATTAATAAAACACGTATCAAAAGGAGATAAGCTGGGTGCTACCTGGGCAAGCCCAGAAGCTCCCCAGGGGATTCTCCTGGCCTGTTTACAGTATTCTGAAGTGTACAGCGAAGCCCTCCTGGGAAGAACTTTGTGTCTAAATACCTTGGATTGCTGTGGGCTAAGGATGGACAGGGCCTCAGGGTGAAAGAGGCCTTCCCCGGGAAGAGGAAGTCACTGTTTACCCAGTCCCATTTCTCCTGTGCACTAACTGACCACCCTCCCACAGAAGACTCTAGGGCTCCTCTCCACCACACTGGGTGGCCGGCGGCCTGCACGGAGCCACCGCGCGCTGTCTCAATACTTTCTGATCCCCTGACCTCTCCCCTCCTCTCTAGGTTATTTGGCATGGACTGATGACATGCATGGTGTTTGTGGTCAGGTGGGAGGGCGAAGGGATTGATTTCTTGTTCGGTATAGCCTAGCCCCCAAAACAAGAAAGGGCATGTGGAAACTGACTCCGTAAAGACTCAGTCTAGAACACACTGCAGGGTGAAGTCGTGCCTCCTCCCCACCACACACGTGTGCACATCCCATCTGAAACGCCTTCCTTTGGATTCATGCAAACTTTGCCAAACCAAACCTCACCACTCAGAGCTTCTTCCTTCTGGCCATGACCTTGGCTCCAGTGAGGAACTTCTTAGCAGAGTCAGGATCCTCTGTGTCCCAGGGCCGCAAACTTCTCTGTTTACAATCCAGAGAAAAGACCAACTCCAAATGACAGCTCCGGGCCACGCCCATGGCTCTGTGGCTCTGGCGTGTGGGCTCACTGCCCGACACGGACCCTAACTCCCCAGTCTCCATCTGTACCTATTTTGTGTAGACATTGTCAGCCCTGGTATACTGTGGGTGAACCATCCAGCCAAATTTATATTGCCAAACATTTTTAGCTTTTTCTACATGCTATAAATTGAGGTGACATGCTCAACTTGTAAATAAGTCTTTTTGTACATTAAAAATAATTTTTTCATAATTTATCTTGTCGATCTGCTTTTCCCTTGACAGTAGTTAATGAGAATTGAGGCAGTAAATTTGGCACATTTGAACAAAAATTAGGCTGTATTTTTCATAACAGTGTCAGAACTGACTACCCCACCTTAACTCAGACAGGCTTAATTCAGGATCATTTACTGACTGTTTGCTCCTTGTCACTTTGGGGTGTGGGCACACAGTGTTTGACAGTTTTCTGGGACTCAGATACTAGTGAGCTCCTTAGTGCGTCCAAGTCAGTCGCCGGAAGTCCCACTATGCCAGACCTCAATGTGGGCCCAGGCACCATCTGTGGTTTCTGTGGTGACACCCATTTTGAGTTGTGGGTGTTTTGGTTACTTCCTCATGCCATGATCAAATAACAGAAAAGCAACTTAAGAGAGGAAGGGTTTACCTTGGGTCAGAGTTTAGGGTCCAGTCAATCTGTCCTGATGGGGAATGTACGTCGGCAAGAGCATAAGGTACTTGGTCACATGACATCCACAGTCAGGAAGCAGAGGAAGGCGAGTACTGACGTCGACCTGCTTTCTTTTATTCCGCCCTGGGCTGCAGCCGATACAATGGCCCTGGCCACGGTCAAGGTAGTCCTCCCAACTCAGTTTACCCACTCTAGGGAACCCTTTGCTGATGCGCCCACCCAGAGGCCTGTTTCCTGATGATTTTAGATCTTGTCAGGTTGACAATGAGACCTACCATCCCAAGAGTGAAGGGTGGGAAAGGGGGCAGACCCCCAAAGTTGGCAAAAGAAAGTGTCGGCCAGGCAGGTGAAGCCCAGAATGCATGGCGACTAGCCTTGGGTGCAGGGCCAGGAGACATGAGCCATGACTAGAACTCTGAGCCCAGGGAAGCCTCCTGCCGGGTAGGCAGGGACAACCTTGGGTCAGCAAACTGATAGTCAGCCCTGGGCAGCGATTGGGCAACCTTAACCTCAGCAGGCTGAGGATATAGCTTGGTTGGGTGTAATCCCCACCCACATAAAAGCCAGACACAGCAGTAGCATACCTATGGGAGATGGGCTTCAAAGACAGGAGACTCCCCAGAAGTTAATTTCCAGCTAGCCTGGCATATGAAGTCGAAAAGAAATCCAGAGACTCCTTTCTCAAGGTAGAAGGCAAGGCCCAACACTCAAGGTTGTCCTCTGACCTCCACATGCACACTGTTGGCAGTGTGCATGCCTACACACACACAGGGGTATGGGGAAAATGCAAGTGCACACAGATAAAAGCAAGTTGAGGGGCTGTGCTGACAACTCTGTGGTTAAGAGCATTTGTTGCTCTTGCAGGAGACCCTAGTTCAGTTTCTAGCACCCATGTCAGGAGGCTCACAACCACCGTAACTCTACAGGGATCTGATTTCCTCTGACCTCTTGGTACCCTCATGCAAGTGTGCATGCTCACACCCAGACACATAAATAGATGTGAAATTAAACTAGAAGTCCAGAAAACTAGATCGGTGGTTAAGGGCACTCACGGCTCTAGCAGAGGATCCCAGCACCTCCGCTTCCGTGGTGGCTCACAATCATTCATAGTTCTAGTTCCAGGGAAACTATGCACTCTAATGACCAGTTTGGGCTCAAGGCACACACACAAAATACTTATGTACGTGCGGGCAAAATGCCCATGCACCTAAAATATTAAAAACAAAATATTTTAACTTTTTTTTATTGTTTTGCTTTGTTTTTTTTTGTTTTGTTTTGGTTTGGTTTTTTGTTTTGGTTGGGGGAGGTTGTTTTGGTTTTGGTCTTTGGTTTTTTTTGGGGGGGGTGTTTTTTGTGACAGGCTTTTTCTATGTATCCTGATCATCCTGGAACTCACTCTGTAGACCAGGCTGGCCTCAGACTCAGATCTGCCTCCCAAGTGCTGGAACTAAAGGCATGTGCCACCATCCCTGACTCTTTCCTTTTTTAATGTGGGTTCTATGGCAGGAACTCTGGTCCTAGAATTCACAAGGCAAGCACTTTCCTGACAGTCATCTCCCCAGGGAAGTTCTCCATCTTCCAGTGGTCTTGGAGCCTTTTCAGTCACTGACCTTGGCTCTCTTTCAGACATCTCATTTGTTTTCCCATATACTGGGTCACCCTATCTCAAAAGCCATATCACATTTTCTTTGGCTATCTCTATATATTTGATGACTGTTGTTCCCATACCTATAAAAGTATCTTTTATTTTCCTACTATAACAGAGGCTTACTACCTCTGTCTGCTAACCTAGGCCTAGTCCTGGAAGCTTCTAGCCTCTGACAATCTTAATTAGGCCTAGATGTTTTCAGCCTCTGAAACTTACTGCTGAATAAGCTCACCCTTTCTTGATCTTTCTGAGCTCTGGCTGGCTGGTGCAGCTCAGCTGTTGGGGCTCAAACTCCTCTCCAAGATGACTGACTTAATCTGGTTTTCTCATCTTCTGACTGAATTGCTCTGCTTGGCTCCAAACTACTTCTAGCGATATGTTCTAATCTTCTGGCTCCTTCTTATTCTCTGGCTCATCTGTCTTCACCTGTTTCTAGCTTGTTTTCCCTTCAACACATCTCTGCAAAACTCTCCCAGTAAAATTGCATCCTCTCTCCCTCCCTCTGCCCTGCTCTCCTAATCCTTTTTCCTGCCTGTTGTCATAAAAGTTGGACATATCCCATTCTGTCAAATCTTTCTCTGATTTGTTACTTTGTCTACTTTTTAATTATACATCACTTTCAGACGTGGGTGCTTCTACAAACTAACTTTACCTTCATTGTTTAGGATTAAAGGTGTGTGCTAAGGGCACATCTGTATTCAAGACAGAGGGATTAAAGGTGTGTGCTCAGGCTGTCTCTATATTCCAGACAGAGTAGCCCTGTTGCTTGGATTAAAATCCCTCTCTACATATCAGCCTGCTATAGGCTGTATCCTGAAAGTCTCTAGGCACCCAATTATACTAAAACATCTTTTAAAAACAAACAAATAAAAAAGGCAATGCCTCATATAGCCCAAGCTGGCCTTAAACTCACTATCTAGGTGAGGGTAGCCTGGATTTCTGATCCTTCTACCTTCACCTCCTGAGTTCTGGGTTTACAGGCAGGTGCCACCAAGCCCGGTCTGTGTGATGCTGAGGATAAAACCTGTGGTTTTATGGCAAGCGCTCTACCCATCTGCTTGAGGTACATCCCTAGCTTACAGGCAGATTGTCCCCAAGCACTTCTCCACACAGCACAGGGCACTAGTTTTCTTACAGCCACCTGTGGATTTTCTTATTTCTCATTTCAAGCGTAGGCCTCGTACGTAAGAATAGCCATCTCCCATTCACGCCCCTTCTAACACATACAAACACAAAAACATACATATGAACACCCACATACATACAAACACATACATACACATTAAAACACATACATACACACACATATGCAAACATACACAGACAAACACACATACATATTCAAAACATTCCTACACACACACAATGCAGCATTGCTCAACCAAGTTCTCAGTGCCTGTAGATGTCATAAGGCGTAACTCACATAAACGGAGGCAGGGTAGTGATCCATATGAGGTTAGATAGCCACATTGTCCTTGAAATGCTAAAATATGGAATTTTAAACTAAGAAGCCCAGTATGGAGATTACAATAATTTCTTGTATAAATACAAAGGGAAGTAACTATTCTAGGGGTTCTGGGCAAGAACACAATAGATAATTGAAATATTAAAAATGTTCAAAAAAAGTAGGTACAGAATTGCTCATCCATAACCCCAGCACACAGGATGCAAAAGGTTCAGGGTCATCTTCAGCTACATTTGAGACCAGTTAGGCTACACAAAATCCTGCCTCAAAATAAAAGTGCAATCTGCAAATAATCCAAAAAAGGGAGGAAAGAGGGAACACATAACAAGCTGAAAAAGAAAAGAGGGAAATAAAGTGAACAGCACTAAATGCAGCCCCATCGATAACTACATAAAACGAAATAGCCTAAAAGCTTCAATTAAGACACGCACGGAGAGTGGGGCTGCAGCTTTACACACGCAGCTTTAAGACTTCCTATAAAGCTGCCGTCATCAGAGCAGCGGAATCGGCGATGGTAAAATTACAGATCGGTGGCATGGGACAGAGGGCAGTCAGCAGAAACATCTGTGTCCTGAAAGGTTTGTCCAAGCTGTGACCACAGGCTGCATGCATCCCAGGACAGCTATGATGCGCCCAAACAAAACTGTAAATCTACTTCAAACATTGGGGGTGGGGTGTTTCCTAAGTGTGAACTTTGTAGGTGACAGTGTCATGTAGCAATGTCAAAAAGTTAGACGTGGGGTCAGGGATTTAACTCAGTGCTAGAATGCTTGCCCAGCAAGCACAAAGCCCTTGGGTTTATTCCTCAGCCCTGGGAGTGGGGGGAGTAGGTCAGACATGTCTGTGGGTATATGTCTATTTCCATATGACCTGTGAGCTAAGAATGGATTTTACACTTCAGCATGTTCTTTAAAAAAAAAAAAATCACAAACACAGTCGTGGTGTACTTGCCTAGAAGGCTTGAGGTCCTGGATTCCATCTCCGCGACCACAAAATATTTCTTGCGCCGCCACGTAGGGGCAGTGCCCTCACTCAGTAAACAGCCCTTCACCTCTGCTCTATGAGGAAGCCCAGTAGACTCTTTGATGGACTAGTGCCTCGGTTGGATGTTGAGACCTTAGGAGGAAAGGGAGACATGTTTTACTTCTCCCCCAGGGAAAAAATGTTAGCAGCATCGACCTATACAGGTATGAAAATTGGTTGGTTTTGTTATTTTGATCCTGGTTGGCCTCTAACCTAGAGGATTCCAGCCGTGCAGACCATCTGTCCTAAAAATGAGTCCTGGGGTGCTTCTGAGTTGTGGTAGTTCTGTGATGTGTCAACTGGTGAGGAAGAGCTGGGCTGGTGAGATGCCCTTGCCCTGGGTATTCCCAGCTAGGATGGTCACGGAGATTTTAGCTGGGGGCAAG